AATCCTGGGATCCGTTATGAATATTATGTGCTATCAAGTGACCCATCGTATAAACCGAAATACTTATGGGATTTCATGGAATGGTCCGAGTGCAGTGTTAAATGCGGCGGTGGCACAATGGTAATTTGAATGTCTAAGTCGATTCGACGATTTATAGGAGAATCATTAACTCCGGAAACTGAATATGCATACCGCGGAAATAACTTTGACGTTACGCTTATTTCCTCCACGATAAATCTGTTCATGCATTCGTGTGTTATCAGATTTCAATTGCAATTCCTTGGTGATTAAAATGTGAGATGTGGAAGATGTTTTCTATGTTGCACATTCGCGATAAGAGTAACACAATTCCAAAAATGTGATTTCTGGATTATCGCGATAGGAATGTTCCTAATTAATTATAAAAATCTCTTTTTTTTTGACCAATATTGTTCATTTTAATTCACATAATACGAAGTTAAATTGTTTGCTCACTTATCATTGCGAACAAGCGCATGTCAATCATTTTTTTCTCAAAGAGTATTACAGCGTGAAAAAGTATATGGTAGCTTGTATAGTAACTTTGAAACATTATAAAAATTTCACGAATATACTGTAATATATTCAAGTGTCATGACTGTATTGATCAAGTTTGAAACAAATCTAAAAATTACAAGATATTTAATACTCTCTAATACCTTAATATTTAATTATGTTCAAGAACAGCTTTCCACTTGTACCACGTTTGTCGTATAATATTATTTTCTTCGGTGTAGATATCAGAGGCAGCGTGCATCGAAGAGCATGGTGGAAAAGTGAGTCCTGCATTTTGCGAAGGCATACCACGACCAGATCCAAAAAGCAGAGTTTGCAACTCAGGAGCCTGTCTCGCGAAGTACGTAACCACATCTAAAACTATAGTTTATTTTATATTTCGCACGCGTCCTTCTTTATGCAACATTGGAGAAATATTAGAAAATAGTGACAATAATAATAATTGCAAATATTTTACTACTAAATATTATTGTAGGTGCTGCAGGTATAACCGGATCGTGTTTGATTTTGCATGTTAAAATAAAATTTCTGAGAAAATCGAGAAAACTTGAAACTTTCTTTCAAAAAAGATACTGTACATCTAAATTTGGCTAGTTCCGATAGAAGTAAATTTTCATTTAACGATTAGTTTTCAAGTCATTATGAACATGCTTAGTTAACAACTGGTATTTTATCCTATGTTTCTGATTTATTTTTGCGTACAGAATTACTCACAATCTGATTATATATAGAATACCAGAATAATTCAATAAAAGAGAAGCCTAGTACAAAAGTTACCCCGGTCGTATCAAGAATAAATTTAATCAAGATATATTTATATTTAATTAAAAATCCAAATTGAATTTCAAAAACCTGAAAAAGTATAAAAAGCTGATACATAACTACTAGGTCCTAATTTTTCTCTTTCAACACCGTATAAGTTTAATATTGCCGTTTTTCTTTTTCTTTTTAATTAAATTCAATTTCAACGATCGAAAAAGAATCGATGTTTTACGAGCTTCATTATTCGTTCGATGTTCGCGATCGCTATATGGAGATTGGAATTTCTCAAGGTGGCGAGTGAGCCAATGGAGCAAGTGCAGCGCCTGCGATGGAAAGAAAGGAAAAAAGCATCGTAAAGTGCAATGCGTGCGAGCTGCGGCTCGTGTTGGCCAGGATGACGTTCAGGCGAATCTGGACGCGTGCAAAGGTCGCGTGCCGAGACAGGAGGAAGAATGCATAGGTAAGCACGACGACAGAAACTCTCCAATCTCTATAATTTTCTATTTATCAGAACTCTTTCCGTCTTATTCGTGACGGAAGTTGATTGCTTTTCTCCCTTTCCTCACTCTTAGGTTATTGTCTTTAATTGTTGTTTAATGTAACCAGAAGTTCCATCCTTTTGTAATTAATCATTTTCAACCTTTAATGTCCGGCATCAATCATTTAACATTTCAATTAAACATTTCTGTTGTTAGATGACATAGTAGAGCCTCCTTTGTACGAATTTTTGTCTTTCGAATATTTGAATATCCGAAAATTATGTTACCAGAAAAGTATATTCAGTTTCCAGTTTCTAGCAGATATTCTGTTCTGACAATACAACACATTCGGATATTAAGATAGTCAGAAAATAGTAAAACTCCGTCTAGATGAATTTATCGGAGTCAAATACTTTAGATAATTGGAATTTATGTAACAGGAATTTTTCGTTTACGAGAGTTCATTTGATTGGTGTCGATTAAAAGTCGATTCAAATAAATGGAGCTCATCCCACTCTTCTTCTTTATATCTTATTACACTGTCACATATTTTTATATCTCGTACCATGCAAATATACTTTTCGAAATGACGAATTGTATCGCCACGATAAAATTGTTTCCTCGATACAACGAAAAATTTCGTGCCTACCCAAACTTAATAGCACTTCAAGATTCTGCAAGTCGCAGAAACGATCAATCTTCCGTTAAACATGACTAATCATTGACAAGTTAATTAAGACGTCACTCAGAGACGCGTAAATGGTCATTCATAAACACGAAAATCGTATATCACTCAACAGGTAACTGTTTAGTATTCCGTTTCATTGATTTATCCAAAACTGCGTCTTGACAGGTTGACTGAGCAATAGGTTTCCCCAATAAATTACGACCGTCAGTCGCATTTTTATAGAAATAATGTACGTCACGTTGATAAATATCACATTTACAGTTGCGTCGTCGACTGCTGATCGTGCTTCTTCAAAGTGTACGCTCCAGTGTTTATAATTTTCCTTCAGTGCTCTGTAGAGACTCGCTGTGTACATATTATGTTTCTACATATGAGTTGCGCGATGTTTGTACGTCGGTAAACGTACCACGTTGATGCATGGCGTGGATGTCGCAGTAAAAGATTTACGATATAATGGAAATAAAATATTGACACTGTGGCACGAGAGAGCGGAGAACGAGAGAGGTCGAAGGAAAAAACATTTGCTGTACAATATTAAAATTCTATCTTCGTTTCTTCTTCTTCTTTTTTTTTTT